AAAGTATTAAAATTGAGACAGATATTTTATATAAGTCAAGTTATATTTTTTAAGGTGTTTTACAAAACAAATATGACAACAAAGAAATCTATAATGGCCTTACAACCTTACAAATAAATGTCCAAGATCCTCTAGATGGCCTTGAAAATGATTGACAGTTATGCATGTCTACAGATTAGATACACTTTCAATTAAATATATGCTGTCCGAGGTATAGACTTTTAGATAAATTAATTGTTCATTATTATTAATAAACAGCATATTTAACAGACACTTTCACATTGATTATACTATAAAACATTGCATACCTACAAATTCAGTAAAAAAATTTGTTATTTGTGGTAAATAACACAGAAGAACAATAAATTTAGCATTGAATAACTAAATAATATTAGTCAATAATGTGTGCAATGTGCATTCAGCCTTACAATTAAAGCAGTGGTTTTGAGTATAAGCAAGGAATTGAAATGTAATTGAGTCTGTGTCTCTGTGAGTACTATGTTGTAATCTATTTTATAGTGCATTGTAATTATTTACATGATAATGTTAGTAATGATCATTAAACTAGCTCAAAGAAAAAAAACAATTTGTTCATGTGCTTATTAATTACTTAGACAGCTGTATTTGAAATATTTTCCAAATACACGTGCATGGTTTTATAATATTATGTCTTATATTGTTAAAAGGTATATCGGAGTTTTAGTTAGGTACACAAAAACTTAGTATAGAAAATAACAGAGATGTGCAGTAAAGTACATATTTACACTTTTTTCTGTTGAGATTTTTTGGTTTGTTACAATGATAAAAGTAAAACTTAAYAATGATATGCATTTTTTTGGGACTTTTGGAGTGAATAATTAGGTTGACCAAAATTACTATAACATTTTGTTTTTGCATTTTTGAGGATGCTCCATGGTTAGAGAATTGAGAATATTTAGTTTCTTTAAAATATTATTTAGGAATGTTTTTTGTAAATTGTGAAAAAAAAGTATTAATTATTTATTTCCAATTAAAAACCTAACTTATACAATATTACCTTTACAATATTTATTATTTATCAATAATCAATAATTATTGAGTTGTGATTTTATTTGAAAATTGTTACAGTTGTTTATGTTAATTGAAGGTACATCCAAAAAAATTATTTGTCCTCAATGATAATAATGATAATAATTTCATATATTCTGTGTACAACTATCAAGTAACTATGCTGTTTTTATAATTTTTTTTTTTTTTATTTTAAAAATTTTTATTTTATAGTACATTGAATATTTATCCATAAAAACCATATTTTTTTTTATTTTTAAGAGAATATAATGATAATGTTTATAGGGTTTAGAGCATTTTGTATTATTAGCACCATACTTCGACTTTTTCTGAACATAAAACTTCGGATCTTAGTTATATGGATAAACTACTAAGTAATTACAGTACTAAACACTACAATAATATTTAATACAATATAAGTTTTTTTTTATGGCTTTATATAAATTAATAATACATTTACTAAGTCTTCAAATTTTGTTTGAATAGATTAGTTGTTATTTTTCTTTTTAGAAAACGGAAGTATTAATTTAATTTTACTGAACTATTTATGTAATTTACGTTGTCTAAATTTTTACAAGGTTATTCGAATAACAAGATCATTTTACTATTACTATTACAAATGTCTGGCATGTTTCAACTATTGAAATCAATTTTTGGATTCAAAATTAGTTACTAATTACTATTCAAACTATTTTAATTTTCAACTTAAATATTGCTTTTGTATTAACGCAAGTACCTATTAGTTAATAAATTTAGTAGATTACAGCTGTTGTTGAACATGTGTTACATTTTGTGTTTATTTAAAGGTAATTAATTGAAATTAAAATTGTAAAATAATATTACACATGTTAAAGTAGGTACWTTAAATGATTAAGTACATACTAAACTGATTTTATTTCATAGTCTTTCTAAGTTTCATTACACATGGATGCGACCAAAAGACATTCATTAATCAAATATATTGTTAGAATAAGTATCTTAAATAGCTTTGTATATTTGAATATAATTATTTGGCATACTGGTTTTTATGTCGAAAGTTTTGACATGTGGCTTTATTAATAGTTTTGAATGACTCATTTATTTATGAAAATATTATTGCTATTATTATTTGAAATTCAGTAGTAAACAAATAAATAAATTACAGTAGAATTTTTAAATTATATTAACTATTTTCAATTTTTAAATCAGCGGTTCCCAAACTTTTTTTCTCCGATGTCCATTTTAAGACCAAATATAGCCTTGGTGTCCTGATGTGAATACCATGAAAGACAGAACAAAAAAATACTCATTAATAACAAATTTTTAAGGAAAAATCTATATATTTTAAATTATTTATTATTATGAACCGTGGACTGTAGTACTGTTAGAAAGTGCTCGTGATGCACAGGGCACAGCTTGGGTACCGCTACCTTAAATAATTTTATTAATTTTATATATTATACATTGCTCATTGCCAGATAAAATGCTCTGCGTATTTGCCTCTATAATTTACTGCAGTCAGGAATAACTATAAAGTACCCTTATTATAAATATAATTAATGATCATATCATGATTTTGCATACTGAAGGTTACATTGAAATATCAATATTGCATGAATAGCTGTTGTTAAAATATGATAATTAAGTAGATAAAGCTGCAATTAACTGTTTCATAAAAATAAAATTTGATTAATGGTTTTACCTAAAATGTTAAGTTTTGTGAATTTTTGTTAAAATGTATTTAAAAATAAATATGTTTATAATTACCTTAAGGCTTAAATAAGGATATACTTTAATTTTATTTTAGCTGGCAGTAAACATTTACGTCTGTTGTTGAGTTTTTCCGTTGGTGGAATGCTGGGTGATGTGTTTTTACACGTTTTACCTGAAGTATGGATTTCTTCTAAAGGTATGTTTCATAATAAATGTCTGCTTTTATTATTTGGTAATCACATTTTATTTATTTATTTTTTAAAGATAGACACGGAGACTGGMTACGGGATGGCTGGTGGGTTTTGGCAGGCTTRTTAGTATTCATCATAGTTGAGAAATTGTTTTCTTTATCAGATGATAAAGAAATTACTGAAACAATTCATAACAAATTGTCTACTGACATAAACTTAGTCAACAACAATCATAAGGATTTAGGAAAAACAACTAGATGTAATAGTGATGTGATGACCAAAGCAAAAAATCACATACAAGTGAGTTTTAATTAATATTTAAGTTGAATCAAGATATCAAGATGGAAATATAACTGTTAATGTTTTGTTTTAGATAAGTGGTTATTTAAATTTGTTAGCCAATTGCATCGACAATTTCACTCATGGTTTGGCATTAGGAGGCAGTTTTCTCATATCCCCAAGAGTTGGTATGTTCACCACATTGGCAATATTAGGTAATATTTATTAACCGTCTTATCAATAACTATTAAAAACAGTAAATAAATAGTATTGACATAAAGATATTCTTTGTTGAATAGTTCATGAAATTCCGCATGAAGTTGGTGATTTTGCTATTCTTTTAAAGTCTGGGTTCAGTCGTTGGGAAGCTGCATGTGCTCAAGTTTATACAGCTTCTGCTGGCATATTTGGAGCCCTTACTGCCATCTACTGTAGTGGAGTTTCTGGTGATGTTGGTAAGTAAATTGCGTTTTTCTTGTTTCATTTTAATTTAAAAATGTCAATTATTGCCTATTAGATATTTTTATAAGCTAATAGAAGTACTTGTATAGGTTAAAATATATCAAAATAATTCAAATTAATTTATGAAACTTTAGATTATCCTGTATTCTAAGACAAACAATTTTTTTTTCATCTTTATCATTTTTCTGTAGATTAAGAAAAATTTAATTATAAAGCAATAAAAATATTTATTTACCTRTGCTGCATTACTTAAAAAATGTTTTAAAATTGTTTGATATAAATGTAATTATCACCTTGTAGGTACCATTATTTCTATGTCTACTCTTTTTTAAGTTTGACTGTTTATACTTGGATGCTTACATTATGTTGCTCAATTATATAAACATTAAATTAATTCTTATGAAAACTATCAATTTACTACTTGGATGTATGATTGAAAAAACTTTTTATTGTACTAATTGTATTATACATAATTAGAATTTAAAAATAATGACTATTTTAATTTTCAGAGACAAAGACATCATGGATAATGCCATTTACAGCTGGTGGTTTCCTTCACATTTCTCTGGTTACTGTATTGCCTGAGCTTTTACTCGAAGAGAATCCAAGAGAATCAATCAAACAGTTTACATTAATAATTGCTGGAATAACAGTTATGTTTGTCATGTCTAATCTGTTTGAATGATAAAGCATCTATTTTTTCCCTATCCTACTCTCCCACCATGTATCCCATTTACAAAAGACTATAATTTAATATTATTATTATATGACATTTTTACTGTATAATCACATTATTAAGTACCACCTTACTATTATTTGTTTAGTCAATTTAAGTTAATTATGTATTGTTTTTGTATTATTCATAAAAACTTCTGATTTCTGAATCGATTTATCAATTTCTTTATAATGTTACCATAAGACTTAGACCAACACATTACTATTTATAATTTTAAAAAATCACTTCTTCAAAGATTAATTGGTTTCATTATGGTTGTGCATTGTTGATTTTTTTTTGTCAATACTGCATTGTTTTGATATATATATWTTTTTAAGTTTAACACAATTTATTTTCATTATAAAGCCATATTATATATAAGTTATTTGTGTAAATATTTATATGTTATCAAAAATTATGTTCAACTAACCTTAACTATTTATTTTACTACTTAAAAATGTATTCTGTCAGTTTCTTGCTTTAAGAACAAAAAAGATTGTATTTATTTTTGTAAATATACATATATTTATGTGTATGCCATGTTAAACAAATGTTTTATAAACAATATTACGAACTATCATCTTCATCAGAATCTGTTTCTTCTTCTGCGTCTTTTAACCATTCAATTAGTTTGTTTGCTTTTTCTCTTATGTTTCTAGCAAACTGAGTGTCCTCTTCCTTTTCATGCMACTTAAGAATTGATTCTTCGCTCAGTATGTTCATGTTATACAAATGATGTATTACTTTGACTATAACTGTGTTGAGCATCTCTTCACCTTTGGCAATGTCTTCGATTGCAGACAGGCAGTCTTCACATGAATCCATAGTTTTGATGTAATTCTTCAATACTGGCAAAAAGTAGTCTAACTTAGACTGCAATTGTGCATAATACCGTACTTGATTTAGAGCCTCAAGCTCGGCTTTGGTGTTCAGCGTCAACATTGCTCGAATCACCTGAAAGTTGGCTTCTCTATAATTGATATTGTATGCGTACCGTGATGAATTAATTTCTAGTATTAGGTTATCACAGTGCACGTGATCTTCAAAACCTCTGATCAACGAATCCACGACCTCGGAGTAGAACATACACGTGTCATCAGGAATGGATGCTGCAACTGATGCAGTGTCATCGTTGTCTGACGAAGAGCAACTATTGTTTGACCAAGTTCTTTTSCGAAAGGTCAGGCCTCTCACATCTTGATCGTCATCGGAATCAGAATCGTTTTCTGTATCGTAAGCATACGCTTTAGCACTTAACTTTTTTKACTTGTTAGTTAAGTCAGAACTGAGTATGCGCATTAGCTTCAAATTTGTGTTTGGTTCGATCACGACTCCACTGCCAAGAATACAGCTGTCTGAGATGTTGCTGCTCTCTTTGATTGTACAATTTTCTCCAATGACCGAGAAACTTATGACGGATCTGTCGTTGACGGTGACACCATTAAAAAGGTAAGAGTTTTCTATAGTGACATTATTGCCGATTGTACAATTTTTTCCAATGACCGTGTTGGATATGTGAGTACCGCTACCAAATCTCGAGTCAGATCCCACGACTGTGTTGTTACCCAAGTTACAGGTCAGAGCTAGCTTCAAGTTTTCACCTATATAGACGTTTCCGTACCTGAGACTGTATTTGTCAACCACTTCCGGAACCTGAGGGTAAGTCCACCGGTGCAACACGTCCCGGGTGACCCGTTGGTACGACGGCCAGTCAAATACCTCGCCGGCGTATCCATCGCCGTCCACTACATGAGCATAAAGTGTGCTGTTCAATATCTCCTCGTTGATGAGCAACCCCTTGACGAAATCATCCTTGGTCTGAAARTCAAAATTGTCGGCGAACAGCGGCGGAACGGCCGTCGAACAGATGACCACGTTCGTGTCGATCAGGTCACGCCTGATGTTCACCGTGCTGTCGAGCACCAGCTCCAGTGGCAGGCTGATCTTACCTCGGGCCCTGTTGTGAAACAGTACCCTGCCCGTGTCGGCAGCCAACACGATCGTCTGGTCCGCGGCCGAGGAAGTGTTCGGGTCACCGGACTGTTGGTAAACAATGGTCATGACGGCACCTCTGTCACTACTTTGTCGCAGGCTCTTGAAACGTTTKACGAGTGGCAAGAGTGGCAGCTGGCCCACGACGTTGCCCCACAGCAGCACGAAGTCGTTTCGGATAAGCGCACACGCGTCCAAGTGTCGGAGCACGTCGCCAAACGACCGACAGGTGTCCGAAGTGGTATAGACGACGTTCAGCCGCTGAGCGCCGGCCGCGCGCTGTACGGAGGCTTTGATGCGGTCTGCACTTCCACTGGAGCAGAACACGATAACGTCCACGATACCCGAAGACTCGAGCATGTCCAGCGTGTAGTGGAGCAGCGGCCGGTTGACGAGCGGCATCAGGCACGCGCTGTCCCCGTCTGCGGCTGGCCAAAAATTYTTGTGGAAGAAGCTGGCCACAACCACGGCCTGCAGCACGTCCTGCTTTTGCACCTTGCTGGCGCTCATGGTGGACGGCGACCAGGGTACACTCGCTGCTCCAGATCACCGAATGAAGACGTCGACGGAGTGGATAACGTCGTCGAAGAATCCGGATCCTGAAGTGTTTCAGCGTTCGTCTTCGTTTCTCCGCGTACTTTTTTTTTTTGATCCTTTGACGTGATACGCAGATAACGCGCCAGAACTACAAGTCTACAACTGATACTGTGGCGCGATATACCAGCAGCTGCTGATTACCAGACAGTGATAACCGTGGACAATAATAATAATAACATAAGCAAAAYGAGCGACCAATCAGAAGCGTTCACATTTGTTATCAGTATTTGTGAGAATCACATTTCTTATTTTCAATTATTCTTAAATCGTACACTAATATCAYAGATTATGCATTTATGATAATCCGTGCTAATATACTAGGTATGCATATTGGAGCTACAGAGCCTTGATAATCAAGGTCTATAATTGATGGAAATACAGCGTATTATTTTAAAGCCCATATTAGCGACGAGTCACTGATTTAGGTCTTCGATATGCGCATGCGCATATTTATTAATATATTTATTTCGTCGCATAATTATCCATAGGCCGTACTCAAGGACCAAGGTCAAAATATATCAAATTAACATGTGGATAAATAAGCGACGAATTACATCGCGCATACGCATATTAAACACTAATTAATTCGATAACTCSTTGCTAATATCGGCTTCATTTTTTATCTTTTGYATTGGTATAATACGCTGTGGCTCTAACCATAGGATATTATCTGAGCATTTATTAAAATCATTATGGGATAGGTAAAATCTTTAATCATACAAATGTATTCTTAATAAGTTTTAACTGTGATTTTTAAAATATATAATAATATGGAAAAGCAAATAASGAAACTGTAAATAATAATATTTCATCTTTTATTATATCTCCATCATAAACACAAAGCATAAGATCTTTTCATAATAATACCTATMAATATTTGATACCTATTAAAATATCAATACATAATTTACCTTCTTTTTTAAATTTTTTTCCACTTTTCTTTCCACAGTTGTATTGATTTTAATTGGGATTCTTCCAATAGTTCCAATTAGTCATCATCAAATTTGTAGCTTGTTTTTATTGTTGCTGCTATTGTGTCAATCTTTTCATCATTTACGTCAATAATAACGGTAAAATACAATTGCGCGCATTTTTCCTTTTTCATAATATGATTGCGCACGTTTTAATGGGACAATAAAACATACATTTTGGGTAAGATATATGTACGATTGCTCGTAAAACTTCATGCGATGTTGCCAAACTAGGCATAATTTAATTTAGTGGTAGTATCCAAAAAAAAATTTGAAGGTAATTTAATTTTGCTTGATCTAAAAGTTTTTAATAATAATTTAGTCAAAATTCATACAGATTCAATGCAATTAAGAATAAAATAGACGRACAAATCATAAAATGCATATAAAAAATATCCTAATATGTTAATTAATGTATACCATCAATGCATCAACAGTCAAAAAATAAAACGAGATTATAATATTATTTTTACAATTTTATTAGGTTTATAAAGCTGGTTAAGTTCACTTAAATAAATAATTAATTCATCAGGGGTCTTGTTATTTTTATAATTATTATACAAACTAATAGTTTTATTATTGAGTAGCTTATCTTTTTTTGGCATTTTATTAATAGAACCTTTTTGGACGATCGAATACAGGGAAATTCCAGTACCCCCCCTCCCCCCAAAAAAATCTAATTTCGGTTCCAGACAAATTTTAATCGATTTTCATAATAATATGTACACGGCGCATTGTATAGGCAATAGTCATACATTACCATAAATTACATTTAACTGTATGCGTAAATGTATCTGTATTGACTATACAATGCGCCGTGTTACATATTATAAAAACCGAGCGTGCCAGATCTCGCGCGATACTCAGTTTCACTTCTATCGCGAAGTAATAAAAAAATTACTCGGAGGAATTAAAAAAAACAATATAAATGTATCAAACTGATTCATTTGACATGTTTTATTAATAAAGTGAAATAATTATTATTTAGGTATTTGTGTAAAATATCYTTTTTGCAACCATCAATGTTTTTCGATGAAATAGACGATTTGTGGATTTAACATAATATCGGTTAGTGTTATTAAATTTAATCTAGAATGTAACAGTATACCTTTAGGCTTTATGTGTAGTCCATATTGAACATTTGGGTATATTATACAGTCACAATAATCTTTCRAATGATGCTTGGCGTACGTTAAAAAGGTCTAAATACAACCATTCTAACCTGCAGTAACCACGTAGCACCCATGATAAGGTGATTTAAATGCGGAGGAACGTCTGGTTAGTTTCCATTATACCAATATACAACTCGTATATACAATGTGTGTTGGGTATGTTATGGTATTTACTCGTTCCTGTATGTATACGATGTATTGGTAATTTAATTCAATCATTATGGTTTGAATTAAATATGTTTTTTTTTTAACGGTGCCATTAATTAAAATTTATAAATGACTGTCAATATATATTAGATATAATTAAATATAATATTAGATATTATTAAATATAGTACTCGTAGACGTCTGTATCTACAAGCATATACATTTAATTTATAAAATACTAAAAGTATATTTCAAACGACTACAGAAGAATCTTTATCTGTATCATTTCGTCGAAAATTATTTATTTTTTTTACTAAGAAACTTGATGAGAACCATTAGTTTCGACTTAAAACTGATTTATACATCGTATTTTGACGAAATTATCTGTGACAAAGATATACCAATATCAAGTAAAATATTTCTCGAGTACATTACTACGGAATCGGATAAAAACATTCGAAAAACATTTATGGATCTATTGAATAATAGTCAGAAAGAAAATGTGACCGCTGAAGATAATATGGTATATCGGTATATGCATAAGATATAAATTTATTTAAAAAATTAAAAACGCGTGAACCATTTCATTTATGCGATGACGACGATGACGGCATTTATATTACAGTGGCCCGTAATTAAAATCGAAGAATTCGAAAAAATATTCAACGGTATTCTGAATAAATATCAATAGCATCATCGAATGCGTTTACACCAAATTAATAGTGTCTTGTAAAGGTACCTACCCGATGTTGTTGTATATACATTTAAAATATTAATGGCAGTTTACTTCTGATTAATTTTTACTCCAAMCATGTTTTGTATAATAAATTCTSTGATACAAATAAACTTAAAACCCTATCTTAACCAACGTGCATTGGAACAAAGCCTCAAACGACGTATAATTTTAAATAATTGGAACATAATATTATTATATTTTATGAAAAAAACGTCCATCAGAATACATTTCTTTTGACAAATATGCATTAAAAATTTTAAACGTAATTTAAATATGTAAATACAATACTAAATAGGAACAAAAGTAAAATTCGTAAATTAATATTGGTGGACTAAGTTGACTTGGGAAAAAAATGTGTGGAACAAAAGGTCCGTTTGGCTGTGTATTCGTCGTATCAGTAGTAGCGCTCTCTTGTGACGTTGCAATACAATCATTTTATCAATATTTTMGCGGATAATCGACGACAGTCAGCAGTCAGCACTGAGTTTGAGTACAGACTACTGAGTCAGTGTTTGTTCGGTGAATTATAGTGGGCTTTATTTTGTCTTTTCACTTTTCATTACAACTAGCCACTAGGTAATATCTACAAAGTACAAAGCGATCGATCTGTTATCTTGGTTGGCTGTGCATAGTGTGCATTACTACGATCACAATCATTTACCCTGTCGTGCAGAAACGTACGATTAACTAAATAATAACCAATAATTGACTGCCTGCGTGCATTAGACAAYAGACAGTTAATATAACAAAAAGGTTGTTGGTTTACTGTTTGAGTTACGAAGTCGAAATGTCGAGCAACGAAGAAAAAGCCATGGCCCTGTTAACCGAAGCGGACAAGAAGCTCAACTCGTCAAAAGGACTCTTTTCCTCGTTATTTGGGTGAGTGTTGAGTACTCTTGTAAAATATAAACGAGGGTGGTCGTAGATTGCAAAACTCGATTTCTGAACTAGTATTAGAGGTGGGGTGGGGGTTTCAGGTGTCGAAGTTTTCGAGTAGTGATCGATTTGGAAAGTTGGCGTGGCTTAAAAGCWAGTATGCATTGGTTTTCTTTCTGTATCTGGTGAAAGGTAGGTGGGAACCATCAAAATTGTCATTTTTCGTGTTTCTCAATTAGTATAGACAATAACAATGCTGCTAACCTGTTTTTAATCTTCTTGATTGTTAGGTAATCGATTTCGGTTGCTTATTTTTGAGAAATTCTGTCTTAAACAACTTCACTAATGTAAAATCACACACTGTGCTGGTTTCTCTAGAAGCCGACACATCATAGAGTTAATACCAAGGATAATTTGTTATCAGAAAATTCTTATGTATTTAGACTTCATTCCATCTTGTTCACTTCTTGTACCTATGTATTTATTAATGTAAGCAATTGTTTGCTTTGAGGATAAATAATTTAAATATATAAGCCATATAGCAGTYGTACAAGTATTTGTTTTAATCATGTGTTACGTTTAAATCATTTGAATACTGAATGCCATTATACGCTATTTATTCCTTTTACACTACTTATAATACAAAATAATGTTGATTTTAGAATATTTAATTATTTTTATGAATTTAAATATTAATGATTTTCATCCTCMTTTTCTCCATGCTTATATTTACATTAAACACAATTTTGATTTACCTATTAGTGTGGAATATTGAAAATGTATGTATTTTGTGTGTCAAATAAAATTCTGTAGCTATTTTGAATTAGGGATTTTGTTAGTTATTTAATTACAAAAGAACCTCAATTAACCATGCTTACTCTTCCAAATATTTAAAAATAATACTACACATTACATATGTAAGGGACAGACAAATATTTTAAATTGGAATATATTATACGCTATCGTCAAATGCTACTGACATTTTTGATGACATTAATAGTAACAAAGACTGATTACTACATATTTTAAGCCCCGATTGATTTGTTATATATATGTATACATGTATAGATGTATAAAAAGTCTATTAACTGTGGTTTTCATTTATCTATGTGAGCCCTCCCTGCCATTACTCTGAATAATCAAGGTTCTACTGTATAGTTATTTAAACATTAAAAATATATCTGATATAGGTTACGTAACCTAACCTGATGCTTTATTAGAAGTTGAAATAGGTGACCTAACCTTCCCCAGCCTGTCTACCTATCTATCTACCTAAAAATAATCAGGAAATCATATTTGTCCGCAGTTTTTTTTCCAATATATTTCTTGTAATCTTTAGTATCTTTAGTAGTATTCTTTTCTACTTATACCAAAATGCATATAACGTAATATATTATATTTTAAATATCAGTGGTCTAGATTGTGTAGGTATCTAATATAATTTAGTATAAGAAATTTAATATATTTTATTTAATATAATTTTTTTAATGACTCTTAGAAAAATGAAAAATAATTTTGGACAGTATGTACTTAACAATCTTTTTATGTTTTTAGTAACTAACTATTCTTAATTTACATAGAAATTAGTTTTATACTAAATATGTATTTTTTATATGTACCTACTATGATTAGGCAAGTATAAAGTGCAATTTAATTGTTATTTTTTAGGAATGTTTCTAAGGTAGAAGATGCAATTGATTGCTATCAACGTGCAGCAAATTTATTTAAGATGGCAAAAAAATGGTCACAAGCTGGTAGAGCATTTATTTTGGCTGCTGATCTCAACTCTAAATCGGGCCGTAAACATGATGCTGCTACAAATTATGTAGACTCTGCAAACTGTTTTAAAAAAACTGATCCAAATGGTATGATTGAATATTTAATATATAGTATTTTATTTTTTAAGTATTTTCAATTACATGAACAAAAATCAGAGTGTTATGCTTATGAGTTATGACTTTGTATTTTTATATTATGCTTGTTTTTCAGTATAAACTATTCAAATATTTTATAAGCTTACTATTAATTTTTGTTGTAAATAAAAGTCTTTAAAAAAACAGTATCTAAGCAAGCTATCACATATACAATTTCTTTATGAAGTTATTACTCATATATTTTATTTTATTTAAGCACTAAAATTTTATTTTAATCCTTTTATATAGATATTAATATTAAAAGTATTAGTTTTCATTGTCTTAAATATCTTTATTTTGTATTCATCTGCTATAATTATATGACATAAAATTGTTTGTTATTTTTTTATTATAGAAGCAGCAATATGTCTGGAAAAAGCTATCGACATCTATACAGATATGGGTCGTTTTACAATGGCTGCGAAACAACATCAAAATATAGCGGAAATGTATGAGACTGAAGCTGTTGATCTAGAACGTGCTATAACCAACTATGAAAAGGCTGCAGATTATTTTATGGCTGAAGAAAGTAAGAGTTCAGCTAACAAATGCAAACTTAAGGTGGCACAGTATGCTGCACAACTGGAAGACTATGACCGAGCCATTCAGATATATGAAGAGGTATAATTGTAGCTGATGTGTAACATTGGTTTCAATCGGTAAATTAATAGTTTATTATTTTTTATCGTTGTGCTTTTTTATCATAGGTTGCTGGGACATCATTAGACAGTTCTTTGTTGAAGTACAGCGCAAAAGAATATTACTTCCGAGCAGCTTTATGTCATTTGTGTGTTGATGTGCTTAATGCTCAACTGGCCATGAATCAATACACTGAACGATATCCCGCATTCCAAGATAGTAGAGAATACAAATTATTACAGGTGAATAATAATATTTAAAAAAATATTTTGTTTTTGTAATAGTTACTTTAGATTAATTAACTGATGCAAAATACAACATAAATTCATATGTATATACATTTTTTATGAAAAATGTAGGTATTACATATTTTTACAACTTTATGTTGGTTGTCAACTATTGATTTTAATTAAAATAATAGATATATTTTTATTTGGTATTTTATTTAAGGCAATCATGAAACTCATAACACTGGTTTTTATTTACAAAAACTATTATTATTTTAAATGTATAAGCATTCTATAAACAGTCGAAAAACTTATTTTATCTATATCATACTGTTTGAACTATGAAAATTGTTTAGTATTTTGAATAATAATCTTCTATTGCTATTTTCATAGTCTAATTTTATCATATGATTTTATATAGAACAATTTAATACATGTATATTGTGTATAATAAGTTGCAAAAAAAAAAAAAA